ATCAATTGGGTGAATTATAGGTGTTTCGTGTGGTGGAAAGTGATGGATATATAATGGTAAGCGAGTTAGAATAAAGTATGTGATTAGTGAAAGTAATGATATGAACATTGAGAAAAGAAAGCAAACAAGTGCCATTTGTGATAAGTCTGCTTCTGTTGATATCTGTTTGTTTTCTATTGCTAATGCGCTTACAATTTCAAAAGCTGCTACTATTACTCCGGCTAAACCTTTAAAATAATTATTTATCATATGATTAATAGAAATTATTATTCAGACAAAAAAGCTCATGTAAATACAGTATATAGTGCATACCTTGGCCACTAATAGAAATTTTGTTAAGGGAAAAAAAAAACATTTGAAATAGAATAAATAATAAATAATTAATGTAAAAATAAACAACATTTAACAAGATACCTCATAACAGCTTGCATGTACACTGGAGAAAATTGCGAAACGACTGCAAAGATTCCATTTTGTAGATAAGCAGTAAAAGCTCCAGACAAAAACATTAAAAGAATAATAAAGTAAAAATAGCCATCTGGTGTAAACAATTTAACTTGTGTAGTTATCGCGATCGTCATAAAAATCGTGGTAAATGAAAAAAGCGAAATGGCTATCCGACGAGACATATTTGCCTTTAAAAAAAGAAAAAGATAGTTCGAATTAGGTCAAAGTTGGAACGGTACGTAAATAATATTAACTTACGGATTTTTGAGAATATATGGCATATCCGAGAAATAATAAGTGTGGAAACATGTAACTTATTGAAAAGTAATTTTGAAAGTCGTCGACAAATGGAGTTCCAATAAATTTAGCATGAAAATATACCGAAGCGATTGTGAATACTGAAATAGAGAGAAGGATTAATAAACATTTTCGATCAAATCTGATGTTTAGAAAAAATAATTTTAATTACCATTCCATCCTAAAAGAATCATGATTCCTTGTAAAAAGAAAATGAAATAAATCATTATATGGTCTTCAGGTATCTGAGCACCTTGATTCGTTTCCAATTTGTTCGAATTATATTTAAATTCATTATTTTGTGATTCGTAATTAAAAGAACGATATCCTTCGCGAATATCATCTCTCAAGCTTGACATTATATATCTTAGGCTTTCAGCAAACTCGTTATTGATCTGACTATATTATTATACTTTTTTTGTTCTGTCGGGTTATGAAATATATGAATTAAAGAATGAATGACAATAAAGAGTTAATAAATTGATGTTTTAAATAAATAGAAAATTTTCGTTTATATGATATTTCTCTTCCTCTACCAATAACTAAAAGACTAGTACTTTGACAACAACATATTCAGATGTGGCGCATTCACTACTGGTATAAAGCCACATGTACTTTGAATTTTTATAAGGCTATCATTAACGTGGTGTGATGTATCGCGATTGCGTGGAGTGGTATAACGATAAAATTGCCGATCTATTTATGCGAGGCTTCGATCTGTCCATTGACTTAAGCCCAAATAAGTTATTGAAATATTATACCGATACGTGATTATAAAAAATTTGCTGAACATTTAGATATAAAATTGAGCGATATTAAACATTCTCAATGTGCTAAATATCTTAAAATAGTATTTATAATATCGTACTAATGCAATAAAAATTTTCAACAAAGATTGTCTAAAGAAAAAAAAATCCGAAATTATTTTATGCGTAAATATTCCTTTAAGCAATTATATTAACTGAGATGGTCATTACCGGTAACATAAGTATCTTGAAGGCCATTCTATCAGTATCTTTGGAATTACGTCTTCTATGGATATAAGGTAGTCTGATCTAAACTAATTGATCATAGTCACAAGACAATTCTGAAACTGAAAAGTTGGTTTGCTCTTAGTTTTAAGACCAGAACAGTCTGGGCTTGTCTGAAGTAGTAAATATCAAAACTATAGACCATTAAGAACAAGACCAGGGCTGGACAAAAATAGAACGGACTGAACCAGACCAAACTGTTAACTGCTAAAATTACGATGATTAAACTGTATATCTAGTAAAAACTTAGTACGTCGTATCAATATAGAATGTGGGCCATTTAATAAGTTGGCCAATGACCTTAAATGATCTATATTACCTTTATGACCTGTCTTAGGTTGAAAAAGATAACTATCAAAACAAACTACGGCAAAGTTTTTTCTAAACTTTGAGCAAAATATCTAACTACCTATCTAAAATCGATAAAAAATTTTTTTATTTCGATTCTATATCTATATGCCTATATAATTAAAATAAAAAATTTTTATTAATTTTGGATAGGTGGTTATCCAAATACTTTCGCTCAAAGTTTAGAAAAAATTTAGATAGCTATCAAAATAGAAGTCACTGCAAAGTTTTTTCCAAACTTTGAGCGAAAACATCTCGACAACCAGTGATGGCATTGGATATATGTCCAATGAATTTGAAAAAGATTGGACACATAAAATTTTATATTTCCATCGTTTTCAAAATTATTGGACATATGTCCAATGCCAACACTGTCGACAACCACTATCTAAATTAAAATTTTTTTTTTATTGCGATTTCATATGAATATATAATTAAAATAAAAAATTTGTTATCGATTTTAGATGGTTGTTGATGTATTCTCAAAGTTCACTATGGCTAGCGTAGTGATGTCATAGGATAATTATGAACATAAGTTTGAACCTTTTGAAACGTTTTTGAACAAAAATAAGGTAAAATTACTCCAAATTTTATTAAAATATCCTATTTTAATTTTTAAGTAAAATGTGCTTAGTATTTTAAAAAAAGTATATAATGATATACTTTTAAATAAATTTATTAATTATTAAAACTTAAACACTAGTATATCAAATATGAATACTTATAATACTCAAAATTTTATGTATGAAACCATATTTGAAATTCCAATAAAAATATAAAAAAAACTTTAAATTTTTTGAATTTTGTATTATAATCTACAAATTACATTGGTATTTATACATTAGAGTAAATTAATTGATTTTTTCATAAAGAATTCAACATAAAAAAAAGCACGTACGTATCTAAATAAAGTTAATAAAAGATTGACAATTATATGACTTCAAATTAAACTAATTCACGTGAAATTACGATTGAATGGATTCCATTTCTATTTCATGGATTAATTATCCATAACGATAAGAATAAGTAAGAGGAATTAGGCTCCGTATTTTTTGCAATCCGGCTGGACGGCATGGAATAAATTGTATATAAGAACTTATGTACCGTCACGCTCAAGACCTTGTCTGGTTCGAAGAAAAAAATTCTCACAATTTTGAAGAAATCAGACTTTTAACGTTGAGCTATAAACTTGAAAGCACCAAACATGACTTTTTTGACAGCAAAATATTCACCCGGGTAACTCGCAGGTCACTTTGGTCGTGGGTTTTTAGACGGGTCTATCGTAGTAAACAGCTTGTTAAATGCTTAGATTAATGACTGTTCTTTATACTAAATATTGTAAAGTCCAATAATTTTTATGCTTAAATTAATAAATGTTCTTTGTACATACACACAAACTAACATAAAAAATTAAACATTTTACAAATTTAATAGCTTAATTTAAATATCCAGATTAATATTTAGTTCATTGCTGATTTATTTCAAACAATAATACCATTACAGTTATACATGTGGTCGAAATGTTTCGGCCATTTCGACCTCTTGGCAAATGTTCAAAGCAAAGTTATCAATTTGTAAATGTGATAGAAATTAGGCTTCATATATGTTAAGCCAGATCCCCAGAACCTTATGCGTATTTCGGCAAGACCTTTTGGTATTTCGGCAGACTCTGGAATTTTCGAAAATCCGTACTTAATATACAGCCGAAACTTTCAGAGTCTGCCGAAATACCAAAAGGTCTTGCCGAAATACAAAAAAGGCTTGCATAAGGTTCTGCAGGTCTGGCTTAACATATATGAAGCCTAATTTCTATCATATTTACAAATTATTGATAATTTTGCTTTGAACATTTGCCAAGTGGTCGTAATGGCCGAAACATTTCGACCACATGTATAATTACAGTATCGATAATAAGAGATAAAACGGATTCTCACCTTCGAAATAATTCGTTAACAAAATCTCCAATAGTGCTCGACAAAATCAAGCAAAAACTCGAACAAGTACTTGATTAGATCGGACATTAAACGATCATAGATCAAATCAGTTAAATATATACATATGTATAAAATATTGGTCATACGATCAAAAATAACAGGACATTTTTTTCATCGGAGTTCATGTCACCCCATGTGCTGCGTAGCAGCACATGAGTGATATGAGCTCCGATGAAAAAAAATTTTCTGTTATTTTCGTATGACCAATATTGATATATTATATTAGCATGTGAAATTTTTTGTCGTGATATTTTGCATAAATGATTATGTCATTTTATGACAAAAATATCAAGGCAAAAAACAAAAAATTTTACATGATCATATCACATGAACAATAAATTTATATACTGATATGATCTACGATCATTTAACGTTAATGTCTGACTTAATCAAGCACTAATCTCCAACAAAAAAGTCATCCGACATATCCTACGTATACAAACACCAAACGATTTTGGTAATTATTTTTGAACCCGGACCAATTTTATATATATGACATAATAACATTTTTGTCTGGATTCAAAAATAATTACCCATTTTGTCACGTACCAGATGGTGACGTAGTTCTTCTGATCTACGAATCGGCTTTCAAGATTAGATGTAACGTAACACAATCAAGAAGATTCAAAACAAACGTTCGCTCTGCCAAAAATCGCTCATAACTCAAAAATCAGCATAAGGAACCGCCACCTTTTGTGCTCTAACAAAAAGTTTTCGTTGGACAATTTTACTATTAAAACTATTCCCCTCTAGCTCTTAACCTTGACCGCTTAACGAATTTTAAGAATTTGTCTGCGCCACCAACCTGGTACACATTTTCCAATTGCAATTTTGAGGCAAGTTTCGTAAATTAAAATTTTAACACATGACAGCCAGTTTCTGAGATCAAATTTTCGGCGATTTAGGAGTTACAATTAGGGTTGTGTTACATAACACGAAAATTTGATCTCAGAAATTAAATGTCATGTGTTCAAAATTACAATTACATGAAAATTCGATTATACTAAAATACGTAAAATTACAGTAATTTTACATCCCTAGTTACAATTAGGGTTGTGTTACGTAAGTTACAATACATGTATTTTTACGTAAATTTCAGTAAATCAAATTTCATGTAATTTTATATAAATTACCGGCTTTACAAAAGTTTGGGTACTATTTGATTTGAATGTATGATCCGAATTTTAACTCCGAAAATTTGATCGCAGAAGCAATACATCATGTGATCAAAAACTACAATTACACGAAAATCCAATTTACCGAATCTTACGCAAAAATTACATAAATTACGTAAATTACGGTAATTTCACAACCCTGGTTACAATTCGGATCGTACATTCAAATCAAATGATACTATAATACTGGCCGAACTTTTTAAATCTTGTACTTTATGTGTAACGATGAAAATTACATGAAATTTAATTTTCTGTAACTTGCTAAAATTACATCTAGGTGCTGCCATTGAACGGGCCCAAACCCTAAAAATTTCCATTTTTTTGGGTCGTCTAAGTGGAGTAGAATCACGTGATACCCGACCAATTAGTTATCGAGCACCAAAAATTCATGTAAAAAAAAAAAAATACAAAAAAAATTCATAGATAAGCAATATATTAATCATTTTATTTAGTTAGAATAAACTTAATAAACATAATATTTATTTAATGATTACGGGTTTTCCAAGTATTTTTGCCTTTTAAAATAATTATAATTCACCTCCAATTTATGCAATGGCTCAAAGTTTTTATTAATACTATCGAGCCTTTGTTATCATTTGGATTCATTATGTTGTTTCATAAATAATTTTTTGTTGCGTCCTGGATCCAGAAACATAAAAACTTTTTGTTCAAATAAATAATCAAAGTCATAGTCTTCTGGAAGAGCATTAAAAATAAAATTTCTGATGCAATTGCATTTTCTTGATTGGTTTTTATAATTTTTCGATTTTCATTCTTTTTTCGCTTATTGTCTGGAGCGAAGCGACAGACT